ATGGATAAAATGGCTTTTGGAAATAACTTGTAATAACATCGTGCTTGACTAATTTTCTGTGGAAAATCTATGGATTCAGCTGATTTGTGAGTAGGCATATATATATCAGTGAAGAATTACTCTATTTGCTCTCATACTTTGAAACACTGCTTATCTTATATGGGTTAGTACAATCTAGCCCATTGGGAGCACATTGACAATACAGGTTTTGCTACTGAGAAGGCTTCCTTCGCCAGCCATTTATATCCCTAAAATTTACTTTGGCTTTGCAAAGTGATATGTCATTTGCTTCTCTGGCTCATGTTTTCCAAGTGAAAGCAGAATGACATTGAGGCAAGATCTGAAAAGTACACTGTTTCTTAATAGAAGAATAAGTATAAATGTAGCACAAAATCTGTTCTAGAAATGGTTGCTTTTCTTTATGCAGGAAAATAGTGCAAATGGGGATAAATATTTTAATGGTGCAAACTTACCCTCCATAGAAACTGGCTGGAATAAACTTAGAAAGTGGTGTAAGTGACATTATATTGGTGAAGGTAGAAGTCTACCTACAGGATGTTATGTGTCCTTCTTCCAGCTGCCTTGCTCAAGTATGTTTTAAATGTTGCAACAGTGCGGCTGTCCTACTGGTGGTGGAGGAGAATCAGAACTGTGTCATGAGCAGATGTGGCCACACCATAACTCTCCTGTTTCACTAATCATGTAATCTCATGTCTTCAGCAAGATGCTATACCAGTAGTCCATGCAGAAGAAAATGAAACAACTACTCTCTATATCTGCCTACCTAGTGAAATAAGGCAATACAAAATATTTATATAAATAACTCCCCATACAGCCTATGCACCCAAAACCCATGACATAACATGTCACATTATTTACTCAGAAGTAAACACTGAACTTCCATTTTCCTATCCATTCTGTAAGTATTTCACTCATTCTTTGCATATTAATTGTGACTGAGTGTATCTGGGACTGAGTGTGACACCACAAAGCTACTTTGGCAAACTGGATATTAGGAAGAAGTCCTTATGTAGCTGCAGAACAAGGCAGAAAGGTGGATCACTTCAAAGATAGTCAGCCAAAGGACAATGTGCAGAATATGTGCCCAATACCAAATGCATTTCAGCAACCAACTATCAGAACGTAAAACTAAAGCAATGGAAACAGCAAACCAAGAGACAGAAGATTGAGGAAGGGGATAAAAGCAAATGGCAGTGCTGCTGGCACCAGTGAGTCTCCAGCTCAGAATGCTTCATGGACCGGACTGGCAAGTCTCTCAGCTGGATTAAGTCCATGGTCCAGAGATTCCCTATACGGAGAAGAAGGTCTTCTACAGAGGCACCTCCACAAACTCAGCCAAATCTGTGAAGCAACTTTCCACATCTGGGGCAAAATATGTAAATGTAATTTTAATTCTTATTGTTTGTTACTTTTCATTTTTCTCCTCTACCTTTTAATACATAATTGCAAATAATTCATCAAAATAGTTTTATGACTCCCATAATATCGAAATGTAACTTGAGAAATGTTAGTTCTGTTGGACTATACCTAGAATAGTGTTTGTTATTAACATAACTTTTGAATTCTGGAATACTAAATAAAAGGGGATCAAATGACTAATTTTAGGCCGGGACATAAACATGTTAGATAAAACAGAACCATATTTCTAATTTCATTTGATCTCTTGAATTTCCCATAATTAATTATACTGTTTAATATTTTATGTATGGTACATTGTATCTTATTTAAATAATAATAACATTTAAATCAAAAATAATCTTCCCAATACTAAAGCTTCAAATAGGAATATACTGTAATTACTAAAATATATCCTCAAATATTTTATATTATTAATAATATACCTGTAGTTCTGCCTGTAACTGATAAGATGAGAAGATAGTGATAGATAATTGTTCTTCACACATTTTCTGTGAAGCTCCATGTGATTCCTTCTTATTTTTATTTCTGTTCAGCTATATATGAACCTATTGAGATCATGAGGGGATAATAAGCTGTTTGGCATGAATTTGCAGACTGAACTGAGCTCTAAGTGTAACAGAATCCAGAAAAGATTGAATTAATTATGGCTGGCAGGTACTACAAGGTAGGAAGGAAATCTATCACTACTGGATTTTAGCTTCCTCAAGTTTCATCATTTCAGTTACTGTCTTTTGGACTCAGTACCAGTAAAGTCCTAACTGACTTCAGCCTAGTCTAAGAAACCACATTAATATCTGTGTCTTGCTACAATCTCTTATTGCATTTTAATTATGTCTCTGTGCTAGTATTGTATAGCAATATCTTTCTATTATATTCCTGGGAAAATTGTCTCCAAGTTGTTGTATTTCTGGTTTCTCAAAACATTTGGAATTTCTAAGACATTTCTATTTATATAAAGAATACAGGAAATTATACTCCAGTTCACACAATGCCTGCTCCAGGTAAATTGGTGGAAGCATGATTAAGGATTAACATTAGCAAACATCTGAGGATGAATCAGCATGGCTTTGCAACAACTAAGTTCTGTCACAATAAGTTTTTAGAATTCTTTTAACATGAGGGTGGTGGAATCCAGTAGACATTGGCCCAGTTTGCACATGATCATGCATACTAACTAAATAGACCAAAAACTTTCTATTTGTGGTTTGTTTAGCATTCTGTGCAAACCAAGAATCCTGGCTTGTCTCTTGGCACTAAAGAAATCAAAGAAGGTATGTTTATTTAGCTGCTCCTGCTTCCAGTATCAACGGGCATGTTGTCATAAATGAAAAGGCAGGGTTCTGATGGAATCTTGCCATATGGTGACATCTAAATCAGGCCAGTTGTACATAGATGTATTTATTTATCGGATTTCTATCCCATCCATTAGCCAAAATGGTTCTCTGGGCAAGTTACAAAATAAAATAATATAATAATAACAAAATACACAAGAAAGCGTGATATAAATTAGCAAATATGTTACAGCAGTCACATCAGTCACACAAAAGACCCCACATTAAAACAATACACTAACCCCAGTTCTTAAACCAATACTAAATACCACAACTTATTTAAAAATTACCTTAACAATTAAAATATTGGGTAAATAAAAAGGTCATTGCCTGGCACCAAAAAGAATAAGGAGAAGGTGCCAGGCAAATGTTTTTGGGGAGCTGATTCCAGAGTTGGAGTGCCATTGCCTAGAAGGCCCTTCTCCTTGTATCTACCCTCCTTATTTCCTTCACAGACAGCTCTCTGAGAAGGATCCCAGGTGATGATCTTAGGGCCTGGGTAGGCATGTATGCAAAGAAGTGCTCCTTTCGATAACCTAGACTTCAAAGAGTTTCTTCCAAAATCTGCCATCAATTTATTCCATAACTTAGCAGACATGGAATAAATTGATGGCTCCTCCTATGGGTCATAAAAGGTAGGAATGAACTATTCATTCTCATCAAGGATATGTATTATGAGTTTTTTGTTTATTCAAAAATGATTTGGAGTTAGTGATGAGCAGTGAGTTGGCGAAGTGTGTGGAAAATACCAAGGCTGCAAATACAAACAGGAATTGCCAAGAGCTCCAAAACAGTCTTTCTAACTGGGGAGGGTGGGGAGGATGGACATGGTAAATGTGGTCAGTGTGAATAAGTGTAACTGATGCACCGTGGTGTAAAGCACCTTGACTTTACATATTAACTGATAGGAGCTGAAGTGACAGTGATGGATCAGCAAGAAATCTTGGGACAGGGGTGGATAGTTTGATCCAATGTCCCACAGCTCTGAAAAAGCTGGCTTTTGTGTTAGAGAATATTAGGAAAGGGGTGGAAAATAAAAATGTCAGTATCATATTGCTCTAGACACATTTTTGGTAGAATCAGATTTAAAATACTATGAATAGTTCTGTTTTCAACAACTTGAAAAGCATATTGTAGAGCTAAATAAATATTAAAAAGGCAACCAAAATAGTCAGAGGGCTGTGACAAAACATCTTTGAGGAAATGTGATATGATGGCGGTTTATACAATTGCACATTGTAAGAAGAACATGGACAGATAATAATTTCCTTCTCTCATAATACTAGAATCCAGGGTCAGCCAACAAAACCAACAGGTAGAAGATTCAGGATACAGTGAAACAGTACCGATTCCTCGGTATGCTATGATGTTCACCAACTTAGGAAGTTTAGAAGTTCATGAAAGGCAAGGCTATCAGTGGCCACCATAATTATATATTATATCCAGATTAACATTCCTCTAAAGAAACTTTTATAGGAAATATTTCTGGTAGGAGATTGCTATTTCCTGTGAGCTTCTCATAAGAATCCAGTTACCCAATGCTGGAAACAGGAAGCTGGATTAAATAGACCTTTGGCCTGTTAATAACAAATATGTAAACACTGTAAAATAATTGAAAGATAAAAGTTAATAGCCATAATGTATCTGCATTTCAACAGCATGATATATTTCTATAGAATACAGAATACAGTCAAAGTATGACTTTATGCAATGGGAAGTGGTTTTGTTCCAGAAACTGTAAAGACAGGATCAAAACTCCTTTGACAACTGATCCTGCCACAAACCACATGAGGCTGAACTTCAGTATTTCCTAGCTGCTCTTTGCTGCTCTCTTCTAGCGACAGGTTTAATACAACCCTAGCCAATGCTGGGAGCAATACTTGGAAAAAAAAGAGGAGTATTCACGTCACTGCTTGTCTTAATAACATCCTATAGGCATTGTTTACTCAATTCTGGAATTTTAGCTTAAAGCCTCTAGAGGCTTCTATCCAACTGGGAGCCAGACCCAGACAGAAAATAAACAAGGACAGAAACTAGTCTTTTAAAAATAGGAACACACACACACAGAGACATCCCTATCTAGCTCTGCATGCTGGGGGAAAAAATGACATTGTGTATTCCTATTAAGATAAGGCACCCTGTTTAAGTGCTGCATCTTAATCCATCTGAAGCATTGTTCCATAAGCAGCTCAATTTACTCAGGCTGAAGATGTGGTAATAATTGCTTACCTGACTCACAGGCAAATGTCTTTGACGTCTCATCATGAAAGATAATTGCTACTGCATGCTTCTTTGTCTCTCGAGGCAGTCTGGTTATGTTTTTGATGTTGTGCAGTTCAGTTACCTTAAAATGAAGAGATATACTACTCAGTCTGGTTTATAAATAGCACGATGAAAATACAAACCACAGTATGTTCCATGGCTGTGAATAGCAGCCACATCTTTTTGATGCCCACTGGAGCTGTCTTAAAAATAAGTTGACGAACAATGCATGCAAACCATGTGCAGATGCAAATACTCACTCTACAGAATTTTATTTAAGAACTGTTATATAACTATTCATGTCTTTTGACAAATTAGGAGGTATATAAGTGTTACTACTGTTTATTTATTTGTTGCTTTTATATAGCCTTCTTGGGATCCATCAGTGTGGTTGACCAAAGGTTTAAAACATCAAGACCATAAGCAAGCAAAAATAGTGAAACAGTTGAAAACAATATTAAAAATGACAGAAAATATTTAAACCACCAAATAAAAAGATGTGTCTGGGACTCTCATTCTGGATACAGCCAGGACCAGTCACACCTCTACAAGAGCTGCATTTTAGGTAAGTAACTAAAAGAATAAACAGTTCCATCACGTGCTATTTATTTTTTGTCATAAAGTGGAATCTTGGGTAAAAGAACAGTCTATTAATTTTTTATCCACCATTGCTTGTGGTTTACTTCACAATATAAACCATTTGTCAGACCTCCCAAATTGGGAAATCTGCAGCAAAAACATCACAAATAGGGTTGCATATTGAAAAATTCTACAGCATCACCAAGGAAAAACTAGTTCATCTCTCAGGCCAGTTAGCACAAACCTTTGCACTGGCATAGGCTTCCTTCAGTTTAAAGTGAATTGAAATCTTATGACATCCGAGTCTGAACAGTTCTGCTTTCATCTGAAATATTCATGTATAAAGATAAGCCAAGGGAACAATATATTAACTGTGGATACACAGATCTCTCTCTTTCTGTTTATCCATTGGTTCACACAGACATTTCATAGTACTGTGAAGTGGGAGAATAACTATTAAGGTGTGACCAGTAATATCAGGTATGGATCAACTCAGAAAATGGGGTTATGGATATTAAGAATACTTGGTATTAACTTCATACTGGCATATAACAGAAAGCACAATGAAATATGTTTTCCATTCTTTCTAGAGGCTTCCGTTTTTTCTTAGAGGCCTAATCCTGCAATTCTGCACAATCCTTGTAAACTCAGTGGAGTAAGCTCAATTAAACTTAATGGAACTTACATCTCAGTAGATGTGTATAGAACTGCCCTTTCAGTTCCTCTAATATTTTTCTTTATCCTTCATGTAAAAATGTGCACTTTGTTAAAATTGGCTTCTTAAAAGTCTGTGTTACACAGAATACACAAAGCTGGCAACACAGCAATCCACCTAAGGTTCTTCTGCCATTACGTATTTTTAGACATTTATTAGATACAGATAGACTGAATTGTTTAAGACCTCCAAGATTGGCTTGATGTTTCTGGACTTCATTTTAAATAGTCAAAACTTCATCTGGTGAAGCAGATGAAGCAGTTTTACAGGCTAAATGTACTGTATTTCGTTTGTTCAAGCCTATCTGGTATGATTTAGGATTGTGTGTTTTTAACTGTCTCTATTTAAACGGGTTTGTTACTACTATCCAAGCCTTGTGTATCATGCATTGTGTGTGATGCCAGGGTCCTAAAACATGGAGGTATGTTTTTGTAACTAGGGTGGGAAATATCAACATTTACAAGGGAGCAAGGGAAGAAACTCTCTTTTCTCCCTCATTTTTTTCATTTTATACAATGGCTGCTTGGGAACATACAGCTTAATGACTTGGAATCATATGTATGACTTCGAGTTGCATTGAGTCAGGGTAGCGTAAAAGCCATGGATTCCACTTATTCACATCATAAGAAGACCGTTTAATATGCTGGCAGCAACCAAGCCACTGGAATAATACATGAACAAGCCCACATCACCCATACCCCATTTTTGAAAGGATATCACAAAATCAACCCGTGCCACTCTAACAGTTAGCTAAGCATGATTACATCAAAACAAACAAGATTAAGGGTCTCCAACATCTTACTTTTTTCTTAAAACATCTAGTCTTGTGCTGAAGGTTAGAGTGAGAAATCGTTATTTGCCCAAGGTCATCCAGGTAAGCACTAGGCCTGAGGTGTAATTTGAGCTTAACCATCCCTTGTCCAAACCCAAACTCTCATTCGGTGCTCCTTTCTAAACTATTCTCCTTTCTCAGGTAGAATAGTTTAGAAAGTCATTAGGATCATGTAATACTGAAAGCATGGATACCCAAGTCTTTATCCTCTCAAACTTGAATAATGTAATTGATTATTTAGGGCTAAAAGCTCCCAGTTGCAACCCTTTCCACTGCCATCATAACTAGCCATTGCTGTTGTTCCCTCTTTCCCTCACAAAGCTTGAAAGGGCCTGGGAACTCTCCATCATCAGTTCACTTCAGCAGAAATATTGCTGGGTAAAATGGAACTAGGGAGCCATTAGTTCCTTGTCTTCTGTGGAAAGATGAAGAAAGCTCTGAGTTGCCTCAGGGTAGCTGCTGTTTCACAGCTTTTAAAGCAATAAAGAAGATACTTTTCCTCTAAGAAGAAGAAGGAATGAAAAATGTAGCTATAAATGTTTTTGCTTCAATTACATGAGTTGGGAAAAGGAGTAAATGAGTCCTTCTGTTGAAGAAGGGTGACAGGTATACTGCAGCCTTCTGTTAAGACTGGCTTTTTACTAGTTTTATTTTTTTAATTCAATAGAAAATTTACATACAATTTATATACTGCCCTTCTGGTGCTGATAAGGCACCTAGACAAGTAAAACCAACCCTAAAATACTGTCAAATTTCAAAAGAGATATAGCAAAAATAAAACAAAGCAAAACAAACACTAATAAAAATAGACAGATGCAGTTGATAAAACAGATATCTTTCCATGTTCCCCTTTTGGACAAAGGCTTATGCACTCTTACATCACAAATGACTGGTAGCTAGAATAGCAGCAGCAGCAATATATGTCCCTGTATCCTTTATTCACTTAGATCCTAAAATCTACACCAGTGTGTGAAATCAATTCTACTAGTACTAGCTACAGTATCTTAACTTTCATATGCAATATAATTTCATTTGTCTGCAATCCAAAGTTATGCATTCGATATTAGGCAACATAAACAAAAAGACATGCAGCCAAATGTAGATTAATTGGATGTGGAAGGGGGTGGGGGGAAACACTGGTTTTAGATTTGAGAAATGTTGGATTCAGAGAGCAATCAGCTATGGAGGACCAAAAAATGGCAGCACAGGAACTCACTAAGCCAAAGAGGATGCCAAGTGCACAGCTGGGTTATAAATTGGGCATGGGAGAAGACAGCTAGCAAAAAAGGGAAAGGAGCAATGGCTACTGCTCACAAAGCTAGGTCAGAACCCAGTATTATCTTGCTTTTTTGTTCTAGAGAAAATGAAAGAATGGAATATTCATCAATCAGTTTCTAGGATGCACAGTTCAGGCAGACACAGCAGGATGTAATGCTAACAGTCTTTCACCCATCCCCTGGAGTACACTCTCTTTCTCTCTATCTTTTCTCTTTAGAAGATTTGTATTATCTTAAAGAAAAAAAAGTGTGTTTGTGTTTCTGTGTGTGTGTGTGGAGGGAGAGTTGTATCCATTTGTGAGCACAAAATTATCTTCCTAAACCCATTTTATACTCCCTCCCTTTAAATTTAATAGAGGTAAATTCTCTTGCTGGATGAGAGAAAAGGGAAAGATTAGATCATAATCTTTAAGCACTCTGAATTGTGGAAACATCAGAAACTGCATCCAAAGCTTTTAAAGCATCATTTCAGTCAGTGATGAAAGCTTTATTGGATGGCTATTTTTCTCAACTCAGAAATTTCTAAATTTATCTTGTAATAAGATAAATTCTCTCAAATTTCCTTGCTTCTCAAATTTCCAAAGCAAGACACATCAGGAGCCCTAAAAGAACATCAGAACTTGAGAACGGCAATGGCAGATCTGACTAAAGAACCATTTATATTAGCACTACTCTCAGATGAGCCCAGGGAGAAAAACAAATACAAAAGCAGTATGGTGATAAGAATCAGTTCATATCGCCTAATCAGAGGGATAGGTCTGCTTCAGTCATGATGTTTTTTCTGCTCTGCCAAACTATGGCATAATGGTAATCGAATGAGCTATATTCTTGAGTGCTCACAGGAACATAGGAAGCAGACTGAGTCAGACTCTTCATCCATCTACCCTACAACAGTAATCCTGTCCATATGAATGCTGAATGTGCTCACCAGGAACTTATACACATGCATAGGACAAAGTGGACTTAAGTCAAGGCAGCCAAATTTAGGGAATTCAAGACTCCCAACCCCAAAATGGATTTCTCACACGGTCCTACTTCCAGATTTATTAAGCCATAAATTCTTGTCACGTCCAAACCAGAAAACTGTGCTTTCAGTGCTCCCTACAGCTGGAATTGCAAACTGAGATCAGATAAGAAACATTTCAGCTGCAGTTACACAGTACAGACTTCACATGACACAGTGGTTTAAGAGACCTGAAAGTCTTTTCTGAAGCCAGGCATAGGAAAGAAGCAGAAAGAAGAGGATGTGAAGCAGAAAGCACTCTTAACTCAAAACTTATTCCCACTCCAACAATTCATGGTTTCATGGGCTAAGAAATTAAATCTGAACTGGGCTATATCACACTCTACACAGAGTTTCCCCTTTTTTTGTTTCAATGCCTAACCACTATAGCTAGGCTACCGGTTCTTTTCCTTTAATCTATGTTTAAGTTATCTAAGCTAATGAGAGCTGATGGCAACTGATTTTGCATGCCATCAAGCCATCACTGACTTATGGAGACAACTAACCATATATGAGAATTAATTCTACCATATTATTCTATTGTGCACAAAATGGAACTTGCTTTGTTTTCTCTAAACCTACATGATTAATTTTATTAAATATCCCTAGAATATCCCTAGAAGAGGAAAAATAGTTTATTTTTGTTCACTGCCTCCACAATATTCCTGACTTTATAAAATATATTGTCTTCCACCAACATTTTTTTCTAGGCTGACCTAATCTAAATTCTTAAGTATGGTTTCACATGGAAGATATTTCCTCTGATCCCTTTGCTTTTCCTTCTTCCAGTTTTCCAGTTCCATAACTTGCAACGTAAAAAAGCTATCATAGCAGAACACACAGTTCTAAATAATTTATATATATATACAGTTGACCAAATTCACCCAAGCTCACTTTTGATTTACTTGGAAGTGTTCCAGAATCTCCTGAAAACATTTTGAAATAATCTATGGCTCAGAAAAAATAACCCATTTCTCTCTACTCAGCACAAAGAAGTGATATTAAAAGAATTCAGAGACTTTAAAAAAAAGATTTTTAGGCTTTCTCTTTCCAAATCATTTTGTTTTGTTTTGTTTTTGCTAAATTTCAATAAGATGGAATAGGTTTATCTTCTCTGAAATCAGGAGAGTGAGTGTGAAGTAAGAAAAGAGAGGTGAGATGAGAAAGACAAGTGAAGCAAATTATGAAGAAAATAAATTATTCACTAGCTCAGATTTTAATCATAGCTGAAGAACTTGGAACTTCTCACCTCTCCTTTGAAGTAGGATTTTACAAGTTCTCCAAGTTTCAAAGAGCTTGGCTAATTCCCAACGCACCCCTCACTTTTACAAAAGGGGCATTATCATTAAATTGCAAACCTATCCATATTTACTTGGAATGTCATTTCATTGAACTATGTGGGCCTTTAAAAATATGTATATCACCAATGTGTTATTTTCAAGTTATTTCTTATTAATTAACTAGCTTACTAGCTTTTCCATGAACTTTCTACTAGGATCCCTTTCCTAAACATACTGCAAATCTCTCTCTCTCTCTCTCCCCCCCCCCCCCCCCCACACACACACTTTTCCCCCAGAAGGAACATTGTCCATTCAACCCAAAAGAATACAGTTCTCTCAAACCAAATAATTTACGAATACATTGTTTGTACACCATATTGTGAGGGCTTCAAATTCTGAAAGATGGTTTAGAAATCTGCTTTAAAATAGCACAGGTACCAATGCAGACCTTTTGTTTGCTTTGTGAAAGCTTTATTCCTCATCAATCCCTTGTCCTAGCCCTTAGTGATTAATACTGTGTCTTATCCCCTCATAGTGCATCTAGTAAGAGCCAAAC